CACACAAATCACATCCAGATGCATATCATACAAGCAGAATATTAGATGAAGATATTGCTAAATCTAAAAGCTTTAAAATTTATACAAGTAATGATAGTTCATTAAATAGTCTTGATTTCAACTCTTTTCTTTAGAATGTTAACAAACGTGAATAAAAATTAATGGTTAGTAATTAATAATATTAATTAATAATATTAATTAATTAATTGATAAACATTAGATTCTAGCAATATTAGTAAAAGATGCGATGAACGACTAATTTAATCTCCACTATAAATTTATTATTATCTTTTTATTTTTATCCTTATTTGTTTTTTCAAAGCTAAATTATAATAATGGTTTGAAACAATAAACTTTTTATAGTTTTTTGATTCTTGTTAAATGGTGATATTGGCTTAACTTTTGGGTTGCTCTTGTCAGTTAATTGCAAATAATTCGATGCTTGTCAATTAATTAATTTACAACTTTACTTTGGTTCCCTCTCTCTTGCACCTAGACGAATCTGTGAGTCCAAACCTTTGTTTACTCACTAAAGCAAATTACGTTACTAATCATTGTTAACACACACTATTTAACCAACGTTAGTCATAACCTTGCTTGCTTGCTCACTAAAGTAAATAAAGACAATGTTTTATTTTTATTTTTAAAAGTACAATTAATTTTATTAATAAAATAATGATTCCATCAAGAGTTTTATTTTATTAGAATGTTAATTATCTATTATTTTCCTCTGTGAGGATCCGAAGTTATGCTTTTCCAAGCAAATACAAAAAGTTATCCTTTATGAAATTTTCTTTGATAAAGATAAAGTTTAAGTAACTTAATCAATATTAATATTATAAAAAGCCTTTGCGTAAAATTTTCATTTAACACTAAAATTAGTTGACCCTGGAACATAAAGTACCAAGTCCCTGATCGGTGATTTTATCTACCCCGATCATTATTAAGAAATGTTCGAGTGTGTGGGAACTGAATTTTCTGTATTCAGCAAAAAAAAATTTTTGGTTCCATGGGAACAACTGATGAAACAAAGAAGAGATTGAGACACACAAGAAAAATATAAAAAAAAAAGACCTTTGGATAAGCATATATGATATAATGAATTCAATTGTTGAAATTAAATAGCTCTTCTTAAAATGTTCTCTTTGATTGGAAAAAAAGATATTATTATTATTATTATTGCACGACAAATGTTTATCATGTGGAAAAAAGGTATTTACATCAAAGAAAAAAGATTAATTTCAGAAAAATAAAAAATTTTATTTCCCAAAAATTAGGTTTGAGAAACAAAGATTTTTCCTGATCATGCTTGCATTGCAATGCGTTGAATTGAATTACAAAATAAGGCAATGCAAGAAATGAAATATTATAAAACAAAACATTTTGCCGTACAACAAATTTTTTGTTAAAAATTTTGAAATATCATGTATAGAAAAAATAAAGAAAGGATGACCAACTAAATGTTAGAAGAAGAGTTGGTAGTATTTAAAACTTCAAGTTAAATTATTTTAAACAATTTAAGTTTATTCGAGTCCATAAATGAAATTCTGCATGATTGTTTATGTATTTATTTATTTGTACTGAAGAAAAATTTACCCGTAATATTTGCGAAAAATCACGAAAATTAACAAAAATAAATAAATATTTACTATTTATTTGTTTAAATCGGTGTCTAATTCGGTTAATATTAACGACGATCCACTTAATATTAAAAAAAATCGATCCATTACGTCGATTGCATTTTTATTTACAAAAAAATAATAATATTTGGGACAATAGTTTTAAATAAACAAACATGCATCTTTTTGTAAGTTTCTCAAATTGGTAATCATTGAGCAGTTACCTTATATAACAATAACGAGAGATTATATCGATAATCTTTAATCAAAGTTTTCGTAACACATATTATTATAAACAAAAGATAAATAATGCAAGCCTAGATATTCGCAATTTACTCGAAAAATTAACAACATTTTCAACATATTGATAATATATAAACATTACATAACAACCTTTTAAATAATGATTTTATTATTTAACCGATAATAAAACATCTTGATATTTTTCTTGATCTTTCTTTAAGTAATAATAATATAGAAAAGCAAATATCAATAACTAGTTAGTTAATATCAAAAAAATGGCAAGCATTAAAGAAAGACTTAAATTCAAATCAATGAAACCAGCACTTGATGGTTATCCATCAAAATCAGAAAAGATTAAAGAAAAATATCAACATGTTTTTAATGATTTCCCCTCACTCGTATTAAATTATATATTGTCACTATTTCCAATCTTAACTTGGATTAAAAATTATAATTTTACATGGTTGTATGGAGATGCAGTTGCTGGTATGACAGCTGGTTTAGTTGTTATACCACAAGGAATGGCTTATGCTCTTGTGGTTGGTTTGACTCCAGAATATGGATTGTATTCATCGTTTGTTGGTGTATCCATATATTTCTTATTCTCTACATCAAAGGACATAACAATTGGCCCAACTGCTGTGATGTCTTTATTAATGGGTCAAAATTTAGCATCTATACAAGCCTCTCATACAGATCCTGCCAATCCAGCAGCTCCTATCGTAACACTTGCTGTTGCATTCGCTTTCATGAGTGGCATAATTTCTTTGATAATTGGTCTATTAAGATTTGGAAAAATTCTTGTTGATTATATTTCTGCTCCTGTTATCGCAGGATTTACAACTGGATCTGCGTTAACCATTTCTATTGGCCAGGTAAAATCTTGAAAGATATCAATTATTGCTTTTAATATATCTCTGTTATTTACAAAACTTTTTATTACTATCATTGTTGTCTCACATGCATACAGGTATACAAAATACTCAATATATCTGGAGTTGATTCTAAAGAACCTGCTTATATAGTAGTTGGAAAAACTTTTAAAAATTTGCCAAGTACTAAAATAGATGCAGCTTTAGGAATAACAGGATTAGTGTGTTTGTATTCAATAAAATACGGAACAAGATATTTTGCAAAACGTTACCCATCAAAAGAAAGAGCCTTTTTCTTCATTGGAATCTTGAGAAATATTTTTGTGGTCATTTTAGGTGCAGTTGTTGCATATTTGGCTGGACTTGGACAAAGCAAAAATCCTTTTAAAATTTTAAAAGATGTACCTAGTGGATTTACTCACATTGGAGTTCCAGGATTGGACTCCGACGTTCTTAGACAAATTGCTCCATATTTGCCTGGCGTTACAATTATTTTAATTTTGGAACATATCGCAATTGCTAAAAGTTTTGGCAGAATTAATAATTATAGAAGTAAATAAACAATATTTTTCTTAATGCATATTTTTTTTTTAAAAAAAAAAAATTAAAAGAACTAATAATATTTTATTATTACAAATAGTCACTCCAAGTCAAGAGTTAATTGCTATAGGCGTAACCAATTTTATAGGTTCATTCTTTGGTGCGTATCCTGCAACGGGGTCTTTCTCCAGATCTGCCATCAAATCAAAATCAGGTGTAAGAACTCCTTTGGCTGATATATTTTCTGCTATATTGGTAATGTTGGCCTTGTATGTTTTGACACCTGCGTTTTATTATATTCCTGACGCTGTTTTGTCGTAAGTTTATTTGATATTATTGTTGTGGCATTGTTATAAGAATATCTTGTCAAAAATTAATCAATTAATTTATTGCTGATTTTTTAATTTTTTAGTGCGGTTATTTTTCATGCTGTACTCGATTTAATTTCTAGTCCTGAATACGTCTTTCAATTATGGGAGGCTCAATGTAATTATTATTATTATTAATATATATTTTTTTTGTTTATTTTAAATTTTTTTAACATTTGTCTTTTCCTATTTATTTCTTTATAGTTTGGGACTTTCTTGTATTTGTTGTAGCTGTTGTTTTTACGTTCTTTTTTACCGTCGAGGTGAGTAAAACATCATCATTATAAGATTATACTGTGTATATTATATAATCATTAATAATCTAATTTATTATATATTTCTATAAAACTATTTTATATGTATAGTATGGAATTTATTTCTCAGTTGCTCTATCAACGTTGGTATTATTAGTACGTTTAGCAAGACCAAAATATGAATCATTAGGAAGAATCAAATTAGATGATATAAATGAAGATTCAACTTCTGGAGAAAAATATGCATATGCGCCTTTAGAGTCAAAATCATTCAAATCAATAACAGAACCACCACCTGATGGAGTATTGATATTTAGAATCGACGAAGCATTAATATATCCAAACGCATCATATATAGACGATCAAATACTTGATTACGCCAAAAGCAAAACGAGAAGAATATATAAACCACCATCCAAAAAAGGTGATCGGCCATGGAATGATTCTAGTTATAAAGATGACAACCAAGAACAAATAGAAAATTCAAATAAACCACTATTGAAAGCTGTAGTTTTTGATTTTGTTGCTATAAGTTCCTTGGATTCAACCGGATTACAAAGTATCATAGATATTAGGGAAGAATTAGATAGGTATTCTGGGCATAAAGTCGAATATCATTTTGCTAATGTTCTAAGTAAAAGTATAAAGAAAAGTTTGATTTATGGTGGATTTGGACAAATGAAGGAGGATGAAAAAGAAAGTAGTGCACATGTTCCAACAAAAGAAAATAAAGATTTAGAGAAAAATATTATTGATTCACCACAATCTAATGAAGTAATCACTATAATTAATAATGAGGAGGATAATTCTGAACATAATACTATTTCAATAGTTGATAATAAAAAACAAAAAAACTTTTTCCATTTCACTTTACCAGAAGCTGTTTCTGCAGCAACTGATGGTGCTTGGTAAACCCAAGATAATGTATAAAAACAATATATTTATTAAATCTATACTTTAAGCATAGAGTTACGCACACATTACACTACACATTATTATTTATTTATTTTTATTGTAAAAAAATTACATCTTGTAAAAACTTGTAAAAAAAAAAATTTTGTCAAGAAATAAATTATTTATTTTAAAAATCAAATAGTACTTGTAAAGAATCGTCGTAATCAGTTCATTTTTTTTTTGAAAATCCGGTAGGAATTATAGCAACCGGTCTCAAAACCAGATTTTAACATTTAAATTGGTGCAATGTTACTAAATCCTATTTATTATAGACAGCCCGCCAGAGATTTTGATAGAGATTAAATATATAAAAAAAATAATGAACAATTCTTATGAATCAGCTGTTATATCATCTTTCAATAATAATAGAGTTAATAACATTAAAGCAAATATATGATGACAATAAATTATAATTACAAATATTTCAATAGGTAGTATAAATCAATTTAGTTGTGTTTCACTTTTATTCTCCATTCACTTGCATTTAGCCGATAATGCGAAGGTGGTTTCATTTCACCTACCAAAACAAATATTTACAATTAAAGTGGGACGTTTTGTTATTTCAACTAGTGTTAGTTTCCAAAATTAGAGAATTGCGAAAGTCAAAAGGTTTCGCCATAAGCCGAAACTAGTTTTGATGTTTGACTATTGACTTTTTGATTTTAATTTCGCCTCTTCGAAATAATTTTTGTATTTGATGACATTTATCACAAATTGCGAATTAAGCGTGATCTATTTTAACCGGTTGAGATAAACAAACATATTTCCTTATATAATCATTAAATATTTTGAAAATCTTAATACCATAAAAATGTTTATATATTCTGAACTCACGGCTGAAATATTTTGTTAATATAGTCATAATAGGATGTATCGCCAAAATTCTTATGTCATCCCACCGTAAGAAAAAAAATGTTGTAGATGTAGATGTAGATGTAGATAATGAGGAGAATCTATATTAATTTTTTTTGAAAGAGAATTTCTGTTTTCAATGATAAATTGAAAAAAAAAAAAGATTTTATGTAAAGTTTGGTTTATTATTATTATTTTTTGCAATAAAATTTTACAAACAGGTCAATGTCAAAAATGATTATCTGGTATATATACAATAAAGTCGAAATATTTCGATCTGAGAGATCAAAGTTGAATCATACAACAAGCTGAACATACAGAAAATTAATCAAAAGCTTTCAAATCCTCATAACTTGGTCTATATCTGGCTATTTTGAATAAAACAACTATCATTCGAATTCTCTCAATGAGGTAAGTCTAATACTAATACTAATACTAATAATATGTAATTCGAATCACTGATTATTGAGATATTTTGGTTTACCATAATATTACAATAACTCGTCATTTATTGATGCTATGAACATTAAATCACCATTATTCGAATCGTCTTTATGAGACATTAAATTTGGAATCACTGGTTCTCAAATAATTTTGAAATTATTAATTATAATAAATCATGTGATATGGCCATTTTATTAAATCGTTTTGACCTCATGTATTAGTATGATCTGGCGGCAAATATGGTTTTAAAAAAATTTTTTTTATTTGTTAGTTAATTGATAAGAAAATAATTTCTTCTTCAGAATGCATTCACTCTAATTGTTCATAAGATATTAGCCCTACCACATATAACATTAAATGTTGATGAAACATGTTTGCAGGAGGCCAAGTAAATGTTGTAGGATAATTTACATATTCTAAAATTTGATTATTCCCAATTGAAAATCTTCAAAGCAACTTTAGAAGAAAATAAAAGTTATAAATCGTAATGGATTGCAAAGTTTGAGATTATCATTATAAAGGTAGATAGCAAATGTAAGTTTTGCACATTTCTTTGATCAATGCAATAATAATCTATTTATTAAATTTGAAATAAATGAACTTGGCTGTTACATTGCACAAAGGAAATTTTAATAATTGTGGTTTTAATATCATTGTTAATAAGTAGTTGCCATTAAATATTTACAAATTGCCAAATTGTAATTAATAATTTACTATGGCGCGTGCACATACATATTAATATATATTAAATATGCAATATGATGATTGTTTAGATTATGTCATAACCATGAAAAATATTAGGTAAGGTCACACGATCAAAATCGATAAAAGATCTAGAATATTAATATAGCGATTTTATTTATTTCGTATTAACTTTTCTATGCGTGCGTGTAACGCGCTAATTTTAGAGCTGAACATATATAGTAAATTCGGTAAACTTGTGCAAATTTGAGGTTCGAATCCTCCACAACAATATGACATTAATATCAACAAAATGAAATCGTAGAGAAATAAAAAAACCTTGGCTTCAAAAAAGCACGATTTATTTTTTGGTATTACACGACCAATAAAAAGTTGCGGGACTAAATGACTTGCACATTGTACCTTGTACGTTGTGTGATTTCAAATTTGATTGGACAAGTCGGAATTGTTTAGCCACAAATATGGTTGACCAATGAGATGAATTATAGCAAATATATGTTAGTAGTACAACTGTGGCGTTTAGCAAATTTTCATCACTTTTGTCTGGTTTTTTTGTTTGCAGAATGCCACATACAATATAGTGGTATTTTATCATTAAAGAAAACAATGCAAGAAGACACTCATAACAACAACAACAATAATCAACAGCAGCAACAAATTATTGGAGGAGGGGGAGGAGGAGGATCTTCGCTGTTCTTACTACAAAACTCAAGACAACTGCAATCAATTCAACCAGCAACCACTTTTACTACCTCTACTAATAATAATGTCAACATACAAGGACTCTCCTCTCGTCAACCCTCAACACAAGGTTCATTACAACATTCTTCATACTCTTCTAGACAAATATATTCTAATATTAATAATAATCATAATAATAGTCCTTTAAGGCATTTGTCAAACGTTCCCATACAACCACATCAGCAATTATTTTCAAATTCTCTTCAACCAAATGTTTCACCATTAGGACAACAATCTCAAAATCAAACAATGCTTTTACAACCACCTCTTCCATCTATCATTACAACTAATAATACTAACAACACCAATAACACTCACATTCAACCAATCATATCCTCCACCAACTCTGGAAATTCAATATTTTCTAATAACAATACGGGAAGACAAAATATTCCAAGTTCTACATTATCACCAGTTCAAACATCTGGGATTGCCAACAACAACAATAACAACAACAATAATACGACTAATGTTACAAATCGTTATCAACAAAATCCTACACCACATCAGTCACCGCGTCAATCAAATACAACAATAAATTTACCACACAATATTCTTGCCAATTTAGATCATTCTGCATTATCACCACGTGGTCCTCATTTATCAGCAATTAATAATAACAATAATAGTAGTAGTAATAACAATAATAGTAATAATAGTAATAATAATAATAATAATAATAATAATAATAATAATAATAATAATAATAATAATATTAACAACAATAATAATGGTTTAATGCAATATTCACCAATACCTTCTTCTCGCCACCACCACCACCATCATCATCATGTTGATCCATCAGTTAGCACTTTGCATCCCCATCATCAACTTCAGTATTCATCATCTGCATCAACTTCTCAACAACCCTTCAATTTGCACACTATTCAAAAAATTTCTCAAATCAATCTTCCCTCCCCATTTATTTCTACTTCCACCTCTGATACTGTCGTTCAACAACCAAATCCGAAGATATCAAAATTACAAAAAAGTTCAAAGTCACAAAAATCATCAAAGCAACAACAACAACAACAACAACAACAACATAATAATAATAATAATAATAATAATAATAATAATCAGCATCAGCATCATTATCAAAAAAATATTCTGGATACCGCAGTTGAAGATGCAGCACGTACACTCTTTTTATCTTCAAGATTGAATGGTGATTTTAGTTCTCTTAAAGACAATAATGATAATGATAACAAGAATAAACTTCAAGTTACCTCAACTTCTTTGCTACATGATCATTCCTTACACCATGATTCATTGGATATTGATGAAACTCCAAGCATTTATTCTGAACAGTTAATTATTAAGACAGATTTTTTTTTAATCAAAAATAATTTATAATCTATTATTTAATAACAATGATATTTTTAAAAACAGTAATCAACAACAAGAACAACTAAAACACGGTGGCAAAGGTATTATATCTGTGACTCATTTAAAAAAGGGCAATACTAAAGCAAAATTATTATGGTACTAAAATTTTCCTTTCCTGGCTTGGTATTAACTAGACTATACAGATGAAGAAATTATAGAGAGACAAGGAGAAATAGGTCTAATACCTTATAATAGAGGTCATAAGTTGAAAAATAGAGCCGATTTAATAGATGAAAAATCAAGATTAAAAGCACCATATGATATTTATCAAGACATTGAATATATCGACACGCCAAATAATCAAAGGTGTCCTATAATCCACAGGTTTCCCAGAAATTCTATTTTGAAAGCAGTCGAGTATTATGATGACACAGAATTCAACCCTTATAAAGATATTAATGTTGGAGGTTTGGGGTTTTATTTTTTTAGAAGGAAAAAAAGCCAATCAATTAATTATTAACCAATTATTTATTTATTTTGTTATTATTATTAGAAATTCTTGGGCCATTAGTGAAATTAGAAGATGTTATTAAGAAACCACATTATAAAAGGATTTTAAATGACAATTCATTGACACACTGTGCTGATTTCTTAATGGAAAGAATTGAAACTGAGAAAAACTTCAACAATATAATTAGTAGATTGATGACTGTGTTGCAAGGTGATGATGCCATGTACCCAAATCTGGACTTTAGACTTAATCCTTCACCTGAAATTGTCAGTACTCGTGTTGTCAAAGCCGGTGAAGAGGAAGGTGGTATGGGATTGGGCGTGCTTAATGTTGGACTACAAGGAAACGATAGGAATAAGGATATACGAATTCATGAAGCTAAAGATCAAGGATTAGAAACTTTAATTGCTGTTCGTGAACAATTACAAGTAATTTGCTCATTTTATTTATATGTAATTTTTTTAGAAAAATTTATTTATTTAGCTTTTGTTAAATAGGAACAAATCAGTAATAGTAATGAAGTTTTAAGATGTCTAATTGAATCAAGAAATGGAGTATTAAGATCTATAAGACAAAGAGATTTGTTAAAAATTAAAATAATTTCAATTGATAAACATAAAAAAAAACTAGAGAAAAAAGAATCAAAAAGGAATTATCAAGAAGCTTTGGAATGAATTTATATTATTTTTAATTTTTTGGGCGATGAATTTTTAGGAAAAAAGACTTTGATTGAATTTTTTTTTTTTTTTTAAAATATAATAAAAAGGCTTAAAATATTAATTACAATATATATATTCATTATTCTTTTGTCACAGGGGTGACATGACCTTAATGTGGAGCGTACTACGACAAAGTGAACATATAGTGTCACAAATTAACGGTTTAGTAAGATAATTGTTTATTATTTAGATGATTTCTAATATTTTCAAAATGAACCCTACCAACCAATTCCCAACATTTCAAGATATGCGTCATGATTTCAGTATAAAAGGTTTTCTTATTAGCATGAATTTCCTTTTGAGGCGTCTGCTAGTGCCTATTGATTCACTCTACATTAAGAAAATATTTGTTCTGATTTAGAAAGTGTTTGAAAAGATTGTAACTTTTTTTGGGAATTTTTTGAGGAGCAACCACACTTACAACCTTTTCTAAAATATGAGTTGCTTTTTATATTCGATGGAATTCGACCAAGTTTTGTAGTATGTAAACTTGAGGTAACAAGATCGTATTAAACTTTTAGATTAGAATATATTTTATTTATTATATTTAAGTTTTTTTTTAATTAAATATTTGTTAAATATTGTACAATGGATATAATGTGATTTTGTTTTATATTACTACATTGACAATATTACCATCTCTAATACTTTTACTATCCAAGTGTAAATTTTTGTATCAACTTGAAACTAACTTGACTTCCGCTTGAAACTAACCTTTTTCCCTCCAAAATCTAAACCCCGTGACCACAATTTCATTTTTTAGTCTTGTATGCGTCCCATATTAATATTAATATTGGGACTTATTTGCATAACGTAAACGTGCACGTACATCAAAAATGATCCTGCTATACCACTAATGTAAAATTTTTCATTGTTTAGATTTTTCAGTACAACCTTGTGAACGCAAACACCATTCTTGGAATGTACACGTTTTTCCGTGGTGTGTTTGTTTTCATGCTCTGATGATCATTTTAATGTTCAACCTTTACACTAAATTCTCCAGTTAATCAATTCATTTTGCTCGTTAACAATTATAAATACAATAAAGTATAGCAAAATAATATTATAAAACTACCAATTTTTCATCTCGTTGTTAACAATCGCGTCATTACTTGCAAATTACGTTACTAATAGTTGTTAACACCCACTATATAGTTACCTAACGTTAGTCCTGACTTTTGCTTACTAAAAAAATAAACCATGGCTTTTTACAATTATTGCCTTTTTGCCAAAGCTCTTTTCTTTAAACGAAAAAATAAATAAATAAATAAAAAAAAAAGTTTATTTATTTGTGATTTTTGTTATGGGCCATAATTAAAATAGTTAATAATTATTTTCTTAATATTAAACTAAACATAATTGCTCCGTAATTCCGTAATCATTACGGAGTTACGGTTCCAAATTTCCGCAATTGTAATAGTACTAGTAATGGTAATATCAATTACTATTACAGAAAAAAGTTTAAAACCATGATTCTGTAAATAATTGAGGTGCTATTGCTGTGATGTTTGGCTCCGTGATTACTATTGGCTTCGTAATTATTTGTTACAAGTATTTATTTGTGTATCAGTGTCTGATTGTTAACAAAAATGAGGCAATTAAATAGATGTGGTTTCAATTAATGGCTTATAATAATGAAGGTAAAAATTATGGCTTAACGTTCAGAAAACCAAAGTTTATCCAGTCTCTATACAATAGTTGGGTCATTATTAGCTTGGCAAGAAAATAGGCGGGTGGTGAATTTTCAAACTTCATGAAAAATTTGAAGATAACCACAGACTTGGTTTACATCTGTAATCTTATATTAAATGGATTACGGGTAGGTAATCGTGTTTACGGAATTAGAGTGGTAGTAGCCGAAATTATTATTTACGGAATTTATACTACTTTATTACTATTACTATTACTATTTACGGTTTTCTCATTTGTATTTTCGGAGTCGACTATAACTATAAATAATTTCAAAAAAAAAATATCAATTTCATAAATACAATTGATATATTAATATTAAAAGCCAAAATGTCATTTTATAAATTATTAACTTCAGAAAGAGAAGAACGTGTATTAGAATTTTTTAGTGAAATAGTTAATAATGTTCTTTTGGCTACTTCTGATCGTAAAAAAAGAAAAGTTCATTTTTTAAAATTAGTTAAAAAGCACAAAGAGCTTTTAGAAAATGAAAAAAAATATTGTAAAGAAAAGTATATTTATTATATGGAATTGGATGATGTAATACATAAATGGGGAAAACCAAGAAAATGTAAAAATTGCAAAGGAACAAGATACTCTGATAGATTTTGTGAAATGTGTATTGGCTTACACCTAAAGAGTCTATTTGATACTTGGACATCTGGAAATAATATAATTGACAACTTTATCCAAAAATGCCAAATGATTTTATCTCTTCCAACACTTATTTTAGAATGGATGCCATATGAGCAATTTGAAGGTGTAGAAAAGTTAACAGAAGGTGGATTCAGTACAATTTATACTGCCAAGTGGAAAAG